CCCTCGCCGCACAATCCCTGCTGCGTCATAAGTTACATAACCATAACCGTCAGACTCCAGAGGACATAGCCATAAATCGCTATATCAAATGCAAGGATTATTATTATTATAAGCCATTTTGTACCTAAATCCTCTTGTGATTGCAGCTGTTGCTAGTTCAGCTGTGTATAGCTTTCTGGTTGTCAGCTTAGTTCAGGTCTTAGCATTCTTCCCTCTGAGTCAGAAGTTTGTGGGTTCAAGTCTCATTGGGACTTGAAACTGAATATAATCTAAGATGACAGTCCAATGCAGTGCTGAGGTGTGATGCATTGTTGGAGGTGCTGACCTTTGGATGAGATGTTAAACAAAATTCTGTCTCGGGGGATGTTAAAGATCCCATGGCTCTATTCAAAACAAGAAGGGAGTTTCTCTCTCTCGGTGTCCTGGCCAATAATCCCCAAATAAAATTGGTCACTCATTCTATAGCTGGTTGTGAGATATATCTGTGGGCATATTGCTGTCACTTTCACCCACACAACACAGTCACTCCACTTACGAGTGAATCCTGTGAAGTGCTTTGGGACCTCCTCCCGACATGAAAGGCACTCTATCAAATGCAAGGATTGTATTGTTGTTGGTTGCACTATTTTCATGCCACCAAATTGGGGTAAAGAAGTAGTAATCAAATAGGTATTGTGATAGGCTCCAGCATGTTTACGTCCTAAAATTATCCTTATTTTCTGTGTGCAGCCTACTTTGCCAAATTGGTGGGATACGCCAGGAAAAAGTATAAAGTTGTTCCACCAGCAATTACAGGAACCCCTGAGTTCGAAAGAATCTTGCGTGCACAGTAAATTCACAGGAATTATTTGATATACTAACTCTAAGTAAGAGACAGAGTTCTTTTTCTCTGCACCAGGTGAGACTGTGGTAAATCTTAGAAAGCTTGGCGGACAAATAAGTCAAGATCTCTGTTCTTCTGTAAATCACCTGTCCCTCTCCAATCTTTCAAGCAGAACTCTAATACTCATATGTAAGTAGTTCCAGCTGTGTAATGGATCTGGTCAGTCCACACCTGGAATACTGTGTACTGGTCACTGGTTGGAGATGTTCAAATCCTGAATGCAATGCAGAGGACAGCAATTTGGCTAATCCCCGGTGTTATAAGGCAAGGGCTCTTCAGTCTCATCATGTGATATTTAAGAGAGCATCATATAGAAGCATTTAAGATACTAAATGGGATTAGGAAAGTTAAACTCAGAGCAATGCTTTTAGTCAAGTCAAGACAGCAGGACACAGATTCAGGGTTTTGAAGGTCAATTTTAGTTCAGACATCAAGGAAGTATTTCAGAATACAATTGATGGCTGGAATGTTTTACCAGGAAGCTTGGGTGAAGACAGGACATTGAACTAATTTAAGAAACCGGTACTATAATGGGACAATAGTAAGGTTGGTATTTACGGTAAATGGGCCAAAGGGGATTGATTCTTTTCTCTGTACCTCTCTTGTGAACATGGGCATGCAGATGTCAGTCAGAACTGGGTTTTGACCAATGGACTATAGTCTCAGGAGAAGAATTGGAAGGGAGGAGGAGAATACAAGGAATTTCTTCATTCAGAGGGTTAGAGGGTTCACAATTTATTATAAAGTGACTATTGAGATTGGATCAATAGAATAATTCAGAATGGAACAGGATAACAACGTGAATAAGAAATATGGTGAAAGAGCTGAAAGTTTGGGCTGATAAAGAAAATGACCACCTGGAAAACAGAGGTAGGAGTGGCACGATGGGCCGAGCGCTGAAAATGTCTAAAAGTCAGACCAGCCTGCTTCCAAACCCCACATTCTGGTCTTCAGGGCTCTATGACAAACCTGTTTGAACAATTCCACCGAAACACACAAGTAGCGCATTACTGAGTTACCCAAAGGAAAGCAATAAGCTCTGAAGATGTGGAATGCTCAGCCCAGAAAGCAGTAGAGGCAGAATCAACAGTGGTGTTTAAAAGACAGATACTTGGGTAGTAGAGATATCAAGGGATCTGGTGAAAGGTGGGGACTGGGACTAGATCTACCATGATCTGGTAAACTGGTGGAACATGCCTGATAAGCTGACTAGCCTCCTCCTGTTCCTCTGTATTTCTTATGTCTCATTTCCTCTTATACTTATTGTGTACAGGTTGAACTCGGTTGAATTTCACACAGTTTTCCTGGTGGTCTTGTGGGCTGCGGGATGGTTCTTTAATGAAGGTGAGTGGCATGGTCCTAAACTGTGTTAATATCAGCGATCGATCCCTTTCATCTCTTTCTTTCTCCGATCATGAGCTCAAACTTGGGAATCATAAAATGTAACTCGAGTCAGTCTGGTCAGCCGGCATGTTACTCTGCCAGTATCTCTGCTATGTATGAAATGTGAGAGTGTGGGATTGTGTCCGTTCTTCCTCATTTGGAGCGAAAACTGAAGTAGAAGTAATGCAGGCAATTCATTACACAGCGATCCTGCCAGTCTGTTACACACAGCATTGGAAGAGAGAAAACAACAAGGTGAAAAGTGTGAGATTGAATGTGATAAATAGCCCATAAATAACAGAGTGAATGTGATAAATAGCCCATCAAATCTTCCGTACAGTATGGCAATTTTAGCCAATTATTATTGACTGTTTTCCACGTGAACAACCCCCCTCTCCATTCTTCCCCTCTCCCCCCTCCCCCTTGACTTTGGCACAGTTGTTGGGCTGATAAGATTTCAATGCTGTCATTGTTATTTCTGATCATGGAAAGTGGTGTTTCTGTGCCGTGTTACAGAACACCAACCTAACATGGATACTGTTTGAAGCTGGGTTGAAACTCTGTTCTCCATGGTCAGCAACAGTAATGACGGCAGATAGTGAGAACACTGTGGAGTCCTGTAGCATATTGATTAGATCAATCATCTCACAAGCAAGAGGACCTGGTTCAATTCCCGTGCAGTGCGAAACATTAGGCATTAGGGTGTAACAATCCCTTCAAAAAAAATCACCCCCCAAAAAAATTATTTGATCACAAAGTACACAGTCAATTCACTTTGCAGTATATCTTGTGAAGCGATTTGAGGCGTCTTGAAGACGTGATAAGGCGCTATATCAAGTGTAAGGATTATTATTAATATAGCTCACAATTTTCTGACTCAGAGGTGAGAGCCAGGTAACATGGTACTGAGATCAATGGGGGCAGGTGGGTAGGGGGAGACGGGCAGGAAGAGAAATTAAATGAAATTTAATTTGCCTGAATTCCTTTCACTGCTTCAGTAATTGCCTCGATCCTTGGTCTTGTATACATCTTTAGTCGCCACAAGTACTTCCATGGATACGCAGAGTCGGCAAAAGCAAGGTAAGTGCAGACACCCATTCTGTGGCTTCTCCCACTCCTCTGCCCAGGGCCTCCCTCCCTCTGCCTACACCATGGCACAAGAGAGGACAGACAAGTAGTCTGCTTCCTGCCAGGCTTCTGCTTACATTTCACTGCAAGCTAGTCACAACAACAACAACTTGCACTTATATAGCGCCCTCCACACAGGGTAGCGTCTCAGAGCACTTAGATCAGCACTTAGGAGTACTCAGAGAACAAGATCACAAGATTGGTTTGGATGAAGAAAACTCCTTGGCCCATCTAATCTTATCCCTCCATAACATCCACCCTACCGTACCCCCAATCACAACATCAAACTGCTTTTTAAATGAGTCCAGTGTCCATCCTTCATCGCAACTTGTTCCAGTCATTAATTACCCTCTGGGTAAATAAAACTTCCTGGTGTCTGTCCTAAAATTGCCCACTACAACTCTAAACTCGTCCTCTTGTTCTGCTGTCTTGGTGCATCCTAAAGTAGATACAGGAACACTGCCTGGGTCAAGTATCTCCGATGGTTTTCCTCTCCTCCCTTTTCCTGGGGATTGTCTGGTGACACATAGTGACACAGTGAGCTCTGCACTACTGTAAAATCTGAATAAGGTGGAGGTATTTACATGTGCTTGAACTTCAGAATTAATGTGCACTTGATGTCATAAAGTGCATTGCATCCTAAGGGCAATTAATAGTCTGGGAAGGGGTATACTTATTGGAATCTAAAGTGCTTAATTTGACAATAAAAACTTTGTTGCTTTCAAATGTGTTTGATCGATGGATTGATCATGTTTGTTGATGATATGATTTCCGTTTCCAGGGTTCCCGCTTTCAATCTGGGTGTTTCCATGTTGTCGATTCTCCTTGGAATGAGCTTTCTTGGACTCGTCAATTGCGTGGCTGACCACTATTTTGATGTTGACGTAATGAAACATATCTCCAAATTATTTTGAACTGCCGATTGCATTAAGAGCCTTAGTAAGCAATATTTGGGTTGCAAGTCAATAAATAGAGATGTTCATTGTATGAAGGTGTATGGTTTACTATATATAGAGGCATGTTTCATTGAATAAAGGTGTGTGAGTACTGATATGATGGTGTGTGGGCTCTGATATGATAGAGTGTGGGTTCTAATGTGATGGTGTATGGCTCATTTAGGGAAATTCAACATGGGAGTACTTTGACAGGACAAATATCCACTTATTGAGCAGTTTCTGTGGTTTGGGTCTTTGTACAACAAGAATTTAGATTTATGAAGTGCCTTTCACATAAGGAGGATATCTCAAAGTGCTTCATACTTGGGAGCCCGAGCAGGAAGGAGAAGGTGGCCAAAGGTGCAGAAAAGATAGGTCTTAAGGCAGGTTTTGAAGGCAGAGAAGGAGCAAGGTGGAGGGACTCCAGGATGAAATCCCAGATTGTGTGTGTGTGGTGGGGGGGGGGCAGAATGCCTGAATGCTCATCCCCTGATGATAAGGAGGAGCGAGTTGGAGGGTACATGATGCAGGCTGGTATTTCCTGAGTAGAGGGAACGGATGGGGCAGAAGGGTTCTCCCTTCGTTTGGTGCTACATGTGCTGTTCAATTTATAGTGAGTGACCCTGCTACAGTTTTACTGCTTTAAACTCTAAACGATTAGTTTTCAAGAACTCTTTGTTGTAAACATGTTTTCGCCTAATCCTCTCTATTTCTCCTCCTCTTCTGAAGGTGCTGACCTGTGTTGGGGTTCAGTGACACAGGCCCTGGCCTCTTGTACTTGCTGTACTTTCCCAAGTGGGCATTTTTCATACGCGAATGTCAGCAGTCCCTACTACTGTGGGCATATCACAGCCCAATCTGATCCTGTCTGAACACAACATCCACACACCAGTACTTTCCAGTAGGCGTCATTGGATAGTTATCAAAAAGGGAAATCCTGTCTGTGTTTTTCCGCCTCCCTGTCTCAGAGTCACTAACTCGCATGATCTTCCTCCTGTTGCCTGGGTTAATGTCAGTACCTCAGTACAGGCAGGGGATCAAACTTTGGCTCCACCTGGTTACATTGTCCTGTTTACCATTTAGCACTGACTTCACCAACTGAGCCATCAGTGAGCCTGAAATCGAGCTTTTTGGAAGCAACTTTGGTGTTGGGTTATGTAAAAGTTTCAATTGAGATCAGAGGGAATAAGCATTGACCAGTGAAGAACTAACACTGCAGCCATGTTAGTGGGAGATAGAGAGGGTTAGACTTGGAATGCATGTACAACAACAACAAATTACATAGCGCTGGACAAACAAGGATGTGCACCCGAGCTGAGAGTTGGGATCAGGAGGGATGGAGGGCAGGTGGGCTGGGGGTAGGAGGCTGACCGATGGTGCGGTGGAAGAGGTAGATCTTGAGGCAGGCTTTGAAGGAGGCAAGGGAGGGAGCAAGGTGAAGAGATTGTAGGATCGAGTTCCAAAGGGTGGGGAGAGTGAAGCTAAAGACCTGACCGCTGATGGCATAAAGAAAATGTCTTCAGTAAAAAATTGAAAGAAACAAGAGGATGATCGACCATTTGTTTTACTTTTGGTCAGCTGGTTGTTTTATACACGGAAACCCATGCTTAGAGAGTATCCAAACCAGATTGAGACCTCCATATCAATGGAAATTTCTATGTCTGAAACTGAATGAGTTTGAGAACAGCTGGAGTTTAACCAGCTAAAATCGCAGAGCTTGCCATTGCGAATACTGTCTGGCAAGCTTACCGCTGCTTGTCCAGGGCTTTGTCTTGCAGGCTTAATAGGAGCTGAGTGGGAAGAATCCTTACCCCTAGTGACTGGTCTGTTTTGTTGATGAGCCAGGTTGCCTGGTCTGCCATCAGCAGTGCCCTAAAATAATATGGACCCAGCCTGGCTCGGGGGTGGAGGTTTAGCGATTCAGCCACTGCACTGTGAGAGTGAAGGCTTTGTGCTCTGAAGGTGAGTGGGGGGGGGGTGGGTGGGATCCAGAGGAAGTTGATAAATGTGGCATGCAGAAGGTTACATAATGGGCAAGTCTGTGATGAGAGGAAAAACCAGCGTGGGAGGGAGAACCTAGCCCTGGGCAAACCCCTGAGTTTATGGAAGAAAGAGACTGTGATTGAACTGTCAATTAGAGAAGATGTTTGATGGCACAAGCCTTCAGTTTGTATCTGTGACCCTGGGGGGAGAGGAGAGGGAGGGGGAGAATGAAGGGGGCGGGAGAAGGAGGGGGAGAATGAAGGAGGCGGGAGAAGGAGGGGGAGGATGTATTTATACTGAACATTTTGCAGACTTAAGGTTTAAGTGAACTTTGCTAACATTCAGTGAGGGGATGGAGCGGAAAAAATCATTCTTAAGACATTCAACCATATTTTCTTACCTGTCTATTACCCGACCTACACAGTTCAATGTAAAATCTGGTGACGGCAAATTACATGTGAATCCAGAGCAACGTTAGGCAGTAAAACATTGCTTGAAATCGAGCCATTTCAGTTTTTAAGAGGTAAACCACAGCTAAAAGTCTTTTGCTTTTAAGTCCTACTGCTGTAAATGTTTTTCATTTCTAGGGTGTCTGTTCTCCTGCTGTGAATAATAAGGGTCATTTTAATTTTCTGACCAAAACCCTAATCTGCAAGTTCTGTTTCAATACTGGCTATATCGCAACACCCTTTTTTTTCCCCATTGCTGGACTCTGGCGAGGTACCTCGCTAAAGTACTTTAGTCAAGGATATTTACATTGTTAAGGGTCTACCTAATGAAAATATCCTAATCAAAAACATTATGGAAAGCAGTCCTTCACAACGTTACTGATGGAAACATAAGTGTTTCTCTAAATAAATTAGTTTTTAAATTGCAACATACTTTATAATGCACGTAAGTGTATGCTAATGCCCACTGAGCAGAATTATGGAAAATCAGTGTAATGGTACACTGCCAGCATGCAGAACACAGCAACCCAGAAAATCAAGCTTTCAGCAGTGTCCATTCATATTGACAGAACTGTATTGTGTGCAATGGGATTTGTAACCAAATTGAAAATTGAACCAAGGAAGTGATGCTTAAGTTGTATAAATTATTAGTCAGACCAGTTAAGAGTATTGTGTCCAGTTTTAGTCACTTCGCTTTAGGTTACAGGACCATAGAGTGGGTGCAAAAGAGATTTACTTGGATGATACCAGGGATGAGTGGTTCGATCTATGAGCAGAGACAAGAGGAACTGGACCTATTTTCATTGGAACGGAGAAGGTTAAGGGCCTAATAGAGGTCTTTTAAATTGTGAGAGGTTTGGATGTGAGTCAGCAGGGAAAAAGTGTTTCCTCTGGTCAGTGAGTTAGGGAGTAAAAAGCATCAATTGTAGATGGTTAACAAGGTAGCAAAGAGGGAGATTAGAACAGCCAGCAGCAGCGGTGGGCAGCGGCAAGCAGCAGGATTATATTCTTCTTCTTCAGTGACCGCTCTGAAGATTATAAAAAGATCAACTGTGCAGTAATTTAGGCATCCACGGACTCTCACTTAGGCCACTTGGCTTGGACTCCATGTAAACAGGTTGGTATTGGCCAAATGCAGATTCCTCTCATTGCTGACCTGACTAAGTTCATCTCAGAGGACTATTGTGTTCTGAAGGAAGATGAAGGAATGGCTTAATTGCAGCAGCAGCAGCAGCAGCAAAATTACATCTGTATAGCACCTTTCACATTGGGAAGACATCCCAAGGCGCTGGGCAGACAGAGTTACAGACCCGAGCTGGGGGTCAGGATGGGGGAGGATGGAGGGGAAGCAGGGAGATCAAAGAGGAGGGTATTGAGATGGGTCTTGAAGGGGCGAGGGAGGGGGAGAGATGGAGGGACTGTGGGATGGAGTTCCAGAGGGTGGGGGCAGAGTGGCGGAAGACCCGCCTGCCAGTAGTGGGGCAAGCAAGCTGGGGGACGTGAAGCAGGCCAGAGCCCGCTGAGCGGAGGGAGCGAACAGGGTAGTAGGGAGTTAGGAGGTTGGAGAAGTAGGGGGGACCAAAACCATGGAGGGCTTTGAAGGTGATCTTGAACTGTAACCTCTGTGTGATGGGAAGCCAGTGGAGTTGGGCAAGGATGGGGGCGATAGGATCGCGGAGCCTAGTGCGGGATAGGACACGGGCTACAGAGTTCTGGATGATCTGCAACCTATGGAGGGAGCATTGGGGAGGTCGACAAGCAGGGAGTTTGCATAGTCGAGCCTTGATGTAATGAGAGCATGTATGAGGGTTTCGGCGGTCTGTGGTGTGAGACAGTGTCGGAGCCGGGAGACATTGCGGAGGTGGGGGAAGACAGAATGGGTCATGGCTCAGATGTACGGTAGAAAGGATAGTTGAAGGTCAAACAAGATGCCAAGGTTCTGGACTGGCTTAGTAAGGTGGAATGTGCATCCATGGATGGTGATGCTGTCAGCGCCTGAGGTGAGGAGGCACTGACATGAGCCAATCAGGAGAGCCTCGGTCTTGTTGATATTCAACTGAAGAAAGTTAGCTCTCATCGAGGACTTGATGTCTGACATTCAGTCAGGATAGCAGTGATCTTGGAGTCAAGGGTGGAGGCAGAGAGGTAGAGTTGGGTGTCATCCGCATACATGTGGATGTTGACCTCATGTCTGCGGATGATGTCACCAAGAGGGAGCATATAGGTATTGAAGAGGAGGGGACCAAGGACAGAGCCCTGAGGAAAGCCGCATGAGACAGTGCGAGGGCTTGAAGGAAAGCTGTTTGAGGAGATGAAGTACAGGCAGTTGGTGTGAGAGGTACGATCTGAACCAGTTAAGGACAGCGCTGTGAAGGTTGAGGTGAGAGGAGAGTTGGTGGATGAGGATAGAGTGGTAGACGGTGTCAAAAGCAGTAGAGAGGTCAAGGAGGACAAGGAGGCAGAGGGAGCCCTGGTCACAGATGGACAGAATGTCATTTGTAACTTTGACCAGGACTGTTTCTGTGCTGTAGGTGGCACGGAAACCCAATTGGAGGGGTTCGAGAAGGGAGTGGCGGGAGAGAAAGTAGCGAAGTTGAGAAGCATCAACTCGTTCCAGTACCTTGGAGAGGAAAGGGAGGTTGGAGATGGGGCAGTAGGTAGGGAGTAGAGAAGGATCCAGGGAGAGATTTTTAAGGATCGGAGTGATGACTGCGGTTTTCAAAGGAGTGGGAACAGTACCAGAGGACAGGGAGAGGTTTACGATGTCAAAGCAGTGTTTGGGATCCATAAAATCCCAACCCATGTTGTAGCGAGGTGAGATAGCAGGTTTTGCTACTATCTGGGCACTGAATGAATCCTACAAGGAAAGAAACAAAACTACCCGCTTTCTGGTTAATCAAAGCTGGCAATGTCACTTACTATTTTATGCACAAAGCTAAAAGTGACGTTTCCAATGAAACAGAAGTCAGGTTTTATATTTAGTCCAGGAAGCTAAACATGGCAGACGTCCGGGTCATTTGATCCTTTCTATGTGCTTTACTCATGTGCAGAGAAGGAAGTGATGTCAAAGTCAGTGGCCTCGAAGTCGACCATTTTAGTATGGAAAACCGGATGGTGCGGGAAGTGGGTGGACTCCATAGCAGCGTTATAAGGGAATCCGTGGTGCAGTGAAGCGGGTTTTAACAAAGCTGCACTGTAGATAGATATCTAAATAGGAATCATGGCAGGGGCAGGTAAGTGGAACAGCACAGGCACGAAGGCCTTCCTCTACGCTGTAAATTCCCATGGATCTATGGGTTAGCTGTGTGGGGTATAGATATTCTGGTTCGGAGAGAAAAGTTCTTTGGTACAAGAGGACAGGTAGGAAATCCTGAGACCTTACAGTCCTGTCCCTGGAACTCTCTTCTCTGCCGCAACAAAATCCCCAACTAGCAAAAAGCTCACATTTAAAATTCTTTTTTAATAAGATCTCATGGTTCATTGACATAACATTCTTTTTTGTTTTCAAAAACTGTAATTAATTCGATGCCACACTTTTACACAGTTGAGAATTCTGTACAGGTTTTTTTTTAAAAAGAACTGAGCTCAGTTTCCAAGCACTGCTTAAGGTACAGAGTAAAAATGAAATCTAGAAAAAAATTGTCTTCAATGAACATGTTCATTTAGAGTTTACAGTACAAATAATTAGTAAGACATTGTCTGAAGGTGCAATATCATTGCTTCATTGATGAATTTAAAACCATAAAATGAAATAAAAATACTTCAATGTTTCGTTAAACAAAGAGCCATTCTTTACAGGAAGTAGACCCAATGGTAAGCCTTATATCTGGACTTATAAAAATCTATTTACATTAAACCATTACAGTTTATTTCACGTCTACATGTACATCAGCACCTTAATGCGACAGCAGTGCAACTACAAAACTAGACCTACTTTACTTGGTCCCTAAACATTTTTTTTTATTTAGAGGAAGCCTTTAATTTAACAGCTTTTTTTTAATAATTAAAAATTCGTCCGAACCCATTCACGGTTGGTTACCAAATATCTCATCGAACTCTTGCATCCAACCCTCCGTTGATCCACCTTTGATTAAAGAGTCCATCAGGTCTACGCTGTCTGATAAACTGGAGAAGGAACCAGCAGCAGACTGGCTGATGTAATTGAAAGACAAGTCCTGGTTGGCGTTTCTCGTGTGGTACCCTTGACTCGGATTGCTTTGTGCGTAGCAACCGGCTGTCAACTGTTGAGCTGTGGTGCCCTGGTTAAAACCACCCATGTTGTGGATTGTCTGGGTCATGCCAGACATGATTATTTGTCTTGGCTGGTTGGTCCTTGGCTGCCCTGCAAAATGAGGCATCATTTGCCCCCCGACTGTCCCAGCAGCCTCAAGACCTGGCTGACCCATTGCTTGGACAAAGTGTTGTTTGGCCATCTTAGGTTGACCAGGTTGCAATGCATAAGATGACTTGTTGAATGGTCCCATCTCGCTGTTAGCCTGAGTTCTGTTGGGCAAACCCTGCAAACTTTGTTGCTGCCAACTTTGAGCTGGTTGAGCACCAGAGCTTCCCATAAGATGAAGTCTTTGTACTTGAGCCTTAGGCAATGACTGCCCTACAGGTCCTTTCACTTGCTGTTGGACTAAGACATGGTTTCCAACTAGGTTTTGTCCATAACCAGCTACCATTCCAACCCCTTGTCCAGCAATAGGCTGTCTCTGCATCTGGCTAGCATTACGTGCCATGCTCGCATTGCTTTGGTTTGAATGCTGAAGAATTTGGTTCATGCCCGGGCTCATACTGTACATTCCTTGCTGGTTGCTCTGGCCGCTGCTGTACTGCACCATGCTGATCTCCGTCTGGCCTCCGGTGGCAGGTATCGTTCCAGAGTTCTGGACCTGCGCCATTTGCATCATGCTCGGATTTTGCGCCATCATTCTGGGACTCCTCACGTTCTGGAGGACCTGGTTCCGAGCAGCTGCCAACTCCTGGGCCGAACCTGAAACTAAAAAAGGCTCATTAGATAACTGAGTTATCACTGTAGATTTGGTTGGCATTTACTACCACGTAAAATGTTGTCCGTTCTGAAACAACATACAACATCGGAAGTGTAATAAAATTAACTTGTCGGGTAATTTGACTGCAGTCCACTCAAAGGATTTCAGGTGGTGTATTCAGTTCCCAGAGTAAGTAATATGAAGTCCTGTAGCATCGTGGTTAGTACGCTAGCCTCACAAGCGAGTGGGTCCGGGTTCAGTTCCCAGGCAGGGCGAAACCTTAGGTAAGTTCCCTTACTCCACACCCTTTATTTACCTAGCAATGAGTAGGAATCTGGTTGTTAGTCAATTGACGGATCGCTTTCCGGAGATAATGATTCCCCCACCCAAAAAAAAATGGAGTCAATCAATCCACGACTCTCTGTGGGACACTGCTGTGCGTAATTGGCTGCCGCATTTCGCCCAGAAAATAGTCAATCCACTTTACAATATATTCTGTGAAGCGCTTTGAGATGTCTCAATGACGTGATAAGGTGCTATATCAAATGCAAGGATTATTATTATAATATACTCTGAAAGGAACTACCCATTAATCTACTCTCAATCAAACTGTGTATAGATTAACTCACAATGGGTATTTTTGAGAATTGCTCTCAAATAGGTTTCAATGCTGTACTTATAATGTTATTCCTTGCATTTGATATAGCACCTTATCACGTTGAAATGTCTCAAAGTGCTTCACAGAGTTATCAGAAGTGTAGTCACTGTATCTTTTGGTGAACACAGCAACCATTTCACGCACAGCAATTCATAGAGAAACTCCTGTCTTGTTTTGAATAGTTTTCACTTTAATGTCCACTTGTACAGAGAGACAGGAGGTTGGTTTAACATCTCATCCAAAAGATATCACCTGAGAAAGTGCAGTATGCCCACAGCTACCTGGATGAGCCTCTGTAGGGCTTTCAAAGCCAAGCAAACTGTAGCTCATTAATGCCTGTTAGAGGACTGAAATTCCAGTCAGAGCTCTGTGCAGCGACAGTTTCCCCCCATTATAAATGCCCATCATCAATGTTGCCAAACAGAATGCCAACCAGAAATGTAACCCTAATGAAAGGGCGAGCAAGGGGAGAAAGTAGGAGGACAGTAAAATATAACACTCGTTTCGGCTGGCAGGCAATAAATTGTATTCACAGTTCTGACCATTAACTTACTCTCAAACTAGAAAGAATTCCGAATAACGATAAACAACAGAAACAGAACAAAACCTGCTTTCAGAAAGAAACATTCTCCCCAGTCCCGATGAGAGAAAGTTGCTGGTACGATCCATTTTTTTATTGAGATTTTATTGAGTACAGCAAAGCTCAGAGGTGTCAGTTAAAAAGAAAGGAATTTCAGAGTTGGACGTGGTGGTTGTGTGTGTGTTGTGTGTGTGGAGGGGAGAGAGGGAGGAAGTGGGGGGATTGTTGGAAGACGCCCATGAATAATAGCACAGCAACAAACAGTGCTGTAATCAGTGGTGTCGACCACTCGCTTCACCACGGGTGCTGCTGCCAAAATCTCACTGGGAACAAAACATTAAGTGGGAAGGGACAAGATGCTCCATTTGTGCAAAAAAAACACACACAAAAGAAATGCTTCCTACGCATACTTCAGCTTTAAAAGGCAAGGTCTTGAGTAATGAATAGTCCTCGGAATACCTAAACTGAGGCTACACGGTGCAGAACTTCCCTTTTACACGCTTCCCTTTTATGTACCCATGAGACCTCAGTGGAGTACATTCCCCCACCCCCCCCCCACACACACACACACACAACATGGCAATTGGTAATATGCAGTATTTTCTCTAATAGTCCTTGTGGTTCCTTTGAGTGAGACTGGATGGATTTACTCTGTTCCCTACCCTCCACTAGCCCGTGCTTCTGTTAGTTATTTTCTCCCACACTGTTAGGTTTTCCTTTACCACAAACTACTATTTAATTACGAGAATTGTCTCATGACTACCTCCTCCCAGGCTGTTCCTGTCGCTGTTTGCTGTGAACCGACCACTAAAGAGATGGGTGAGGATGGCGAGGGTACATTTTCTAATTCCCTTCCAACTTTCTTTCCCTTGTTTCTTTAACAGCTTGCCTGAGACTGAACACTCACTGAGTGGACGTTGACTGTGTAATGTATCAGGAGGAACAACACTCTTCCTCTATCCCTCCGCCTTGCCCCTTCCTTCCCCATTCTCAGGTCATGTCTGAAGACCTTCCTATTAGACCGTGCCTACAGTCACCTCAGCCTTCCCCTGGCTTGGAGTTGTGCTCCGCCACTACCCTCATGCAGGGTAGCGCTCTGAGATGCTACCCTGCATGAGGGAATGTTATATAAATGCAAGTGATTGTTGTTTCCTACCAACGCAGCGACTGTTACAGCAGGATGGCCCCACAAGTTAGAGGCCTCCAGCTCAACCTTGAACCAGGAAACTCAAACTCTGGGGATTTTGTGTTTGTGTCCACAGTCTACATCCGTCCTGGATGGTCAGCCAAACAAATACATTTTTCTTCATTGAATTTTTCTTCATTTATGGCTGCACTATGGGTATCACGACTCAGTAGCTACCGTAAAAAGGTATTAATTTGGCACGGACTTGCCACCTCAAAAGTGGCCCGCAGGCCACTGCATCAGTGTAATTTAGTAAGCCCGCAGGCCATTTTTGGGGGGCAGGGGGGTCAGGAAGTGGCACGCTGAAAACCGGAACCATTCCAGGCAAGTCTGCGCTAAATCATCACTTAATAAATGCAAGGATTATTAATTTTGGATTGTCCTCAGTTGGATGTTAGCAGAATTACCCATAGTGGCTGTTAGGGTTGCGTCAATGGGGGCTGGCAGGGGAACGGGGACGTTTAAAAAGAAATCAGTAAAATATACAGAAAAATTTTACTTGGAGGTATGAGGAAAGGGCAGGGAAATGGGATTGAGAGAGATGGTTTCACTGGAGGAAAATACGCGCACCCTAATACAATGGAATGAATAGCTTCTTGCTGTGTCATAGATTTCTATAGTTCTATAGAAACCAATTTGTACTTGGTGCATGATGACCCATTATCCACACTGTTTCCATATCCACAATGGTGCTGGTCCCAAATTAGTGCAGATAACTGTCTCTCTACTTCAGTTTTATAATGGGAAGGAAGATGAGATAATAAAACTAAACTGGCAGGCTTGTGCATGCGGTCTCTGTTAAACCCAGTCAGCTTCTCCTGCTCTCCTGAAAACATTTCAATCGTGTTGAAATTTCACGGTCTGATTTATCACTGCTTCATTCAGGACATCTGAAGGCTCGGCTTTTGAGGTTAGTAATTGTAGAAGGCATCAGAGGGTTTCTGAAACATTCTATTACTTTTCTAATGTAATGTTTCAAAGCATCACTTAAGTGGCATTATTATACAAAAAGGAAAGAACCAGAGACTGATCACATGATGATTGATTTGGAATTTCTATGGCAGAACGATTACGGAATAAGTGAAGGTATTCTCTGTAGCTCCAAACATTAACTCAATTCCAGTTTTAGTGTAGAACACATCTGTGTTACACAATGCAGTTTTTTTAAAAAAAAGCACAAAATACAGATTGGTAACATAAATCTACTGTTTAAAAGGTCTGCTTTTTCTCCCCTGCTTCCCTCAAAGCACTAACACAATGTAAGGGTACTTCAACTCAAGTTGTTTAGACACCTGTCTGAGGACACTTCAGCACAGTAACCTCTACCACTAGTGACTGAGTGTATAGTGAACACGCGATTATAAAAAACCTCCACCTTGGTGTGCAGTAATGTAACCTTTACCACTGGTGACCGGGTGTGACAGTGACAACAAACACTCTAGTAAAATTGTTGTGCACAATTGTGCTGCCGCGTTTTGCCCCCAAAATACAGTCACTCCACTTTACAGTATATCCTCTGAAGCGCTTTGAGATGTCACGATGACATGATAAGGTGCTCTATGAAATGTAAGGATTATTATTACTACAGTAATCTCCACCACTAGTGTACAGTAAGTACAGTAACCTCTATCACTATTGACCAAGTGGATAGAGAACACTCGTAGCCTCACCCACTAGTGACTGAGTACACAGTGAACACTCTCGTTTGGCTCTAGGGCACTGCTCGTTTAAAGACTGATTTAATACAAGTATAGGAGTACAGAATAAAATGGTGATTCCCGAGTAAAGCTTCCTGCGATTGCAGAGGGTGTATCCCCACTGCTCAATGACAGTCCAAAGACCCATCTTACTTAGCCCGTAAACGCCTCTGTACATGCAGTGACCTTTATGTGAACTTGATGCACTTGCCACATGGAGCAAATTCTATCTGCAGAACAATCTACACTTACAAAACCTTAAGGAGAGTTAAAAATTAATAGGCTCACCTTGGAACTGGCTGACCTGCTGAACAGGATATGGATTCCTCTGCTGATCCTTGCACTGCGGATGTGGTCTGGGGAGGTGCTGTTGCATCTGGTCATGCTGCTGCTGCTGTAGTTGCTGCTGAAATAAAAGCAAACTCCTTAATTCTTCTGTACGAGCCGCGCTGTGGGCTCAGTCATTCTCTTATACGCAGGGAACAAACTGGATCACGTGTGCAGTGCAATGCCAATCTGGGAATTCTTACCAGAATTCTTACCAACTCTTTGCCAACTCTTATTTATAATACTTCTAATAAAGTGCAAACTTGTTATATAACACAGTGTTTGGCATCCATAAAATCCCCATCCCCTTTAATGCACACATTAAAGTGCAGCATATTGACGTGTTTTACTGAGCAGTGTGCGCACTGCCTGGCTCCTGTATTAAACAAAAATCAATGACCGACGTCCAGCTCGGCAGGTCAACGTAACATCACTTCCTATTTTCTGTGCCTATGCAAAGTGGGGAGTGTTGTTGTCATTGGCAACCTCATCACCTGGAAGCCACCTATGTTTTCAGCGCAGCGAACGAGCAGACCGGCTGCACACAAGTGGAATATTAATAATAATAATACTAATAATAATCCTTGCATTTGATACAGCGCCTTATCACGTCTTTGAGACGTCTCAAAGTGCTTCACAGAATCTACTGGAAGTGAACTGGCTGTATATTTTGTGGGCGAAACGCGGCAGCCAATTGCACACAGCAGTGTCTCACAAACAGTCGTGGATTGTGTGAGCAAATCATTATTATTATTTTTCTGATTGGATTATTACCCCTGGAAAATCGATCCGTCAATCGACTAACAACTGGGTTCCTACTTATTGCTAGGCACAGAGGCATGTGGAGTCAGGAAACTTTTCGCCCTGCCCGAGATCTGGATCCAGGTCCTCTCGCTTGCGAAGTGAGTGCTCTAATCACTAAGTTACAGGACTCCACAATCAACAGGGTACATAGTGTAACTGGCCTGTAAGTGAATTTGCGCTATAATGATGCTCTTTATAGTGAGGTTGCGCTGTAATAAGCTTTCCATTTGATCTAGGGCCTATCATGTTGAAATGTAAGTATTTAAAGTTTAAGAGCTTAACAGGTAATTATTGTCAAGTTCTATCACAGTGTTTGGCAGCCATTTTGTGCTCAGTAATGACCCGCAAACAGACACAAAGTGAACTGGGGGATTGTTGGCCAGGACACTGGGAAAAACTCCCTTCTCTTTTCAAATAATGTCACGTGATCTTTATCATCCACCTAAACAGGCCAATGCGATCTTGTTTTTAACATCTCATCCGAAGGACAATGCAACGGTCCCCCAACATTTTATTTGAGTATCAGCCTAGACAGACTACGAGCTCAAAGTGCCTACATGGTGCTTGAACCTGCAACCTTAGAGACAACAATGAGACAAAGTGAGATCTAAACATATTTCAGAATCAAATGCTCTTTTAACAACTTGTTTCCCTCCTTGCTTGAACATTTGTTTATTTGGGAGTATTTTCTTCTCACTTTTGCGCTCCCTTTCACCCAAACCCTCTGGCTGAATATTCTGCCTGGGCACAGGACTCCTGAATTTCTACCTGTACTGCTTTTGAACTGGTTCTTCAGAGGTGTGTGAATAGTTAATTCACTCTGTGGTCCACCCTCCCTGTGGAAGGGGACATGGTGCACAGGGAGTGCTCTCCCTCTATGTCTTCTTTGTGGTGTGGCTGAGATTAAGATGTGAATCTCAAGAGTGGGCACATAGTGCACGATATACCTTTAACACTGAATAACGTAGATGACAAGATTGTCACCTTGATCATTTTGGGCTTGGTTCTGGGGATCTGGGCAACCTCTATGAACATTCACATGTGCCACAGAACAAGAACTAATCCACATCGCACTACTAGATGGCACTTGGCGGCTAGCTTCCTCCACCGGAATATCGCCCGCCACAGCCGTCAAACACCAGGATAGGGGACGAGTAGTGGAAGGGAAGAAGATGGAATATACATGCAAACAGCCAGTGGGGAAAGAAACCATTGGCAGTCCCATCATCACTCTGAAGACAAAGTCCTAGCAGGTAGGATGGTCCTCACTACAGGAGCAGGGGGAAGCTTGCCACAGTGCTTTTAAGGGAAACTAAATGGTTTGAACAGGTTAAACTCCAGCTGTACCCCAACACCCATTCTGGGTTTGTTCTCCAAGCTTTGGCTCTCTTGCCAACCTGTGGCTAATACTATCAGGATTTAGGTAAGCAGGGTGCTTTCCTCCAGGGAGCAAATGCGTGTTGCACTCCAAATCCAGGGAAATTTTCATGCATGTGTGAAACTCTCAGTCTGGTCTGGAGGCTCTTAAGCACTGTGATGGATTTCATTCAGCTGACAAAACCTAAGCTAGCGAAATAAAGGTTAAATTCCCTCAAATTTTCCCACCAAACCAGTAGTTCTGAGATGTTATATTACACTATATAAATATTATATTATTGTCTGACTGCTGCTTTATCCTGTGATGCGGATTCTGAGTAACAGCTGATTTCGTACATTGAAGATTTCAGAAACTTCACCACTGTGTAATGTTTACCCGTGCCTGTCCTAAGATGATGATTTAGCCCTATTCTTCTTACCAATAACATAACTGTCGGAATCCAAGACAGTGGACTGAATCTCAGCTTGTCTCAATTGGTAGCACTCTGTAGCTGGGTCAGAAGATTGTGGGTTCAAGCCTCAGTTGGCATTGCTGGGGGAGGGAGGCGAGCACTATATTACCAGAGGATCATACCTGAAACCAAACTTTTGCCTACCTGTTCAGACAGATGTGAAACCACCCTATGATAATACTGAGCAACCTTATTGTATCAAAGTGTTTGGGAACCATGAAATCTCAACCTGTGTTATAGTGAAGTACGACAGCGTATTTCACTGCGATGATACATTGGACAGATGACTCTTCTACAAAGTGATTTCCCTGTAATTCCTACCCTCCAACCCACCCGGTCACGACCCATGATAAGTAAGGTGGTACCTGCTCCGCCAGTAACTGCTGCTGCCTCTGTTCCCTGAAGAGCTGCTGCTTCTGCTGTTCCATCAGATGGAGCTGGTGGACTCTCTGTTTCTCCTGCTCCATTAATAGCTGCTTCATCATGACCACTTGCTGCTGGTTTCCCAGGTACGCGGGGCTCCCCGTCATGGAGCCAGGGACTGGGCCCCCAGTGCCAGGCCCTGGGACAGAGGCCTGGATGGATCCCGGTGGCCGAGAAAGACCCACTGGATTCTGATCCTGCAGAGGAAAAAAATTATTTAGTAACCTGTCGGGTGATGAGTGGTATTACCACACTAGACGAATAACTGTGGAGGAAAAATATTTTTTAAGTCCAGAAAAAGACATTACTACAATAATGCCACCTAGCCACTGCTCCACCACACCTTCCAAGTCCATCGTGAGCATCAGTCACTCTCGAATAAACCCACTCTAGTTCTGCCTGTGTCCTTGTCAACTATGCCTTCCGGATACATTGGTCATACACCGTTTGAGGATTCGTGCTTTGTGCAAAACAAGTAACCAGTTACCATACTTGACAGCAATTCCTTGTGAAGTGCTTTGAGACGTTATGACATTATAGTCATTAGATCAAATGCAAGGATTGTTGTTTTAATAGGAACGACAAGACCATCTTGCATTTATATAGCACTTTTCACATAGAGTAACACAAGGATAGAGCCTTGAGGTATTCCGCAGGTGACTGTGCGAGAGCAGGAGGTAACGTCAATTGGAGGAGACAGAGTGGAGCTGATGGGTGAAGTAGGACAGGAACCAGGAAAGTTGGCTTCGGCTCCCACCCCCAGCCTGGGTGCCCAGCCAGCATTACTGAGTGCATTGAGGCATCCTTCCGATGTGAAAGGGACTACATAAATGTAAACTGTATTGTTCACAAAATCTTCTCACACAAAATCAAGTGAACTGGCACCATTGATGGTGACCTATGAGCAATCACCTAGTTGCCCTGATAAAAGTGGAATCGTGCAGGACTACTTAAAGCGAGCATGTAATACATGGGGGAAAATTGCAACGTGTGATGTGTCAAGTAACGCAAATTAGCATGTTGTTCAATATTATGCCCTGCTGATAACGAAAGATTGGACTGACCCGCAGTGGTCTCACACGCACACATACACATACATTACACATACACACGCGCACACATAACACATATACACACACACACAATTACACATACATACACACACACCAGTCCAATGGTTGGGCCCAAAGCTTGGCACACAGATGTAACTGAGATACCGGCATCACCAGTTTTATTGTTGTCTAAAGCTGCAGTTATGTATGACCCCCCTCCCCCAACCCCACCACCCCGATCTGTCTCCATGACAACAGTTGAGCCTGAAGCCGCCTGTGACAGCCGTTGCACTTTTGGGCCTGAGTGCCGAATGCCGACGTAACTCTGATTTATTCTGTGAGTTAAGCCAGTTTGGTCCTCAGTGTGTGCTGTGATTGCTGATCTCACCTGGGGCGGCGGTTAGCAGGCTGCTATAAATAACCTCAGTGCCACTGGGCTGGGGGGGAAGAGAAACAAAATTAACCTTGCTTCCTGCCCCTATTGGCTTTACAATGGCTTCCTGCTGGAAAATGTATTGATGTAAAGTGAGGTGAGGGCTGGAGCAAACCCAACTGTGATGTTCCCCAACAGTTGAACAGCCCTCCAATAGACGCACAGTCTGGATTTATAGATGAATCTATAGGACCAAAACAACAATAATAACAACTTGGATTTATATAGCGCCCTCCACGCCGGACGGCGTCTCAGAGCGCTTCACAGCAACGACCACAACAACAACAAATTACATTTGTATAGCGCCTATCATGTTGGGAGGACGTCCTAAGGCGCTGTAAATTACAGGACAGAAAAAGGCCATTCGGCCCATCGTGCCTGCGCCAGCTCCTTTAAGAGCAATTTTTTAAGACCCATTTACCTGTCCTTTCCCCACAACCCTGTAGAAACATGACCGTGGGCACTGTATTAATAAAATACTACAGGATATGGATAAAAGGTGGAAAGTGGGATTTAAAAATCTGTTATGATCTGATAAACTGGCAGAATGGGTCTAATGGCTTCCTCCTGTTTTTTTGCTGCCATTCACCGTGGCTGGAAGTGTACCTGAGCTGGGGGTAGCATCTGAAGAGGGTGGGAAGGGAAAATGTGACTGAAAGTGCAGTCAAAGAGGTACGTTTTGAGGTGGGCCTTGAACGAGGTGAGGGAGGGAATGAGTTGCCAGGACTCCAGGATAGTTTCCAGAGAACCGGGGGCAGAATGGATAGGGCGAGGGATATGAAGCAGGCCGGTGTTTGCTGAACGAAGGGAGCAGCAGGATCAGTAGGGTGGAAGGAGGTTGCAGAGATTAGGGTGGAGCAAGAGAGTGGAAGGTATGCCCAAGTGAGCATGGTCTCATTCCCTCTACCCCCCCATATTTCCTTTCACTACGTCTTCACCTCATACTTTCCCCCTTGGCCAGACCAATTAACATGGAATAGTCAACGTGTAAGTAAAATGTGTGTGTGTGTTGGGAGAGGGAAAGGGAGCAGGGAAGGGAGGGATGGAAGATGTGGAATATTACAGTGTAGTCTGTTAGTACAGTACAGTAAAACTTAAGCCACCAGCTGTAACCTCAATTTGCCCAGGATTAAAATATAAATGCATCTCATTGAGAAGCGTATTCCACTGCAGCACGAAGTGACTTTTTGTGGAGGTTGAAACCCAAGGGGGATTAGCTACTGCAGTTTTATTACAGCCTCCTGCACAAGCGGTGGCTTTACATTTACTTAACGTTAGCCACTGTGTTTCTGCATTCTCGAACGAAGATTAATTTCGCCTGGCATCCTTACAGCAAAATGTTATGTCTCGCTGTCACTGGCACTGTACAATACAAAGATACGCAAGGCAGCTCCTCCAGTTCACCTCAGTCTTCACTGACTTGTTGTTGTTACACTTATGCATTCAGGTATTAGTTGGTAGAGGCACTGGTGTCTGAGAATCATGCTTTAAAAGAAAATCACAAAGCACAAAGCAAAGCTTTTTTGATGGGATAAAGAAACAACCACAACAACAAGATTACATTTGAATAGCGCCTTCCACGTCGGGAGGACGTCCCAAGGCATTGGACAGTGTACAGCATTTCAGACCCGAGCTGGGGTCGGGGGGGGGAGAAGGGAGGGGAGGGGAAAGGGCGTTTCATATGCATTTCACATGAAACATACGTTTCACCCACAAAAATATACCGGCAATTCACTTTACAGTATATTCTGTGAAGCGCTTTGAGACGTCTCGAAGACGTGATAAGGTTCTATAACAAATGCAAGGATTATTTATTATTATTATTGGCTATTATTGGCTCTCCCCAAAAAGGCTGTGGATACTGGATCCATTCACATTTTCGAGACAGAGGTAGATATTTGTTAGGTCAGGGTATTAAGGGATATAGGGCAAGGCAGGTAACTAACTTGAGGTACAGATCAGCCATGATCTTATAAAATGGTGGAACAGGCTTGAGGGGCTGTTTCTATGTTTGAAAGAGTAATCGCAACCTCGTTTCTGACAACCGTACAAGTAAATTCACAAAGACTCTTGAGGGGAGAATTTTCACGTGGGTCTAGATTTACTCTATTTATGCAGCATTTGGAGAGTCCAAAATTTGGTAAATGTTGAATTCAGTCTTAAATTAACTTTGAAGCTGGTTTTTCGTAAATTCTTAAAAGAAATTTACAGATTAATGGCCTTGAAATTAAGGCAGTATTTAAGAATTACCCAAACATTAGTCACTTTGAAATGCTGCATAAATAGAGTAAATCTAGACCCAAATGGAATTTCTCCTCCTGTGTCTCAAATGCCAATATTTACACATCAGTTCTCTTACCGCACACTACTGTTAAAGATGTATTTTAACCTTTTGACAAGCATGTCAACATTTAGGAAATAAGGGATGCTTTTAAAAAAATGTTTATTACTTCTCCTCTCCACGTCAGCCCCTCCCCGCTTCTCCTCTCCTGAATGCTCTGGCTCACGCTGCAGTGGGTAGGTTCTATGTACATGTCAGCCTGGCTCAAGGTGGTAGCACTCTCGCTTCTGAGACAGAAGGTTATGGTTCAACCCCCACCCTCCCACATGTCGGGATTTTGAACTCACAGTCTAGTTGACACTCCAACATAGTGTTAGGGGAGCATTGTATTGTCAGAGGTGCTGTTCTTTTGAATGAGATTTTAAACCAAGGTCCTGTCTGCTTGGTCAGGTGGACATTAAAGATCCTATCTCATGAGTTGAAAAGAGAAGGGAGTTTCTCACGGTTCGTGGCCAACAATCCCCCAGATAAAATTGGTCATTCACTCCATGGCTGTTTGTGGGACTTTGCTGTGTGCACAAATTGGCTACTGGGTTTGCCTGCGAAATACGAACACTACAATTCACATTGCCCTGGCACCTCCTTACCTCTCTCCGACCTGCGTACATCCCACTCCTTTACCATCCCCTATGGTCGGCTAGCTGGAGTGCTAGCTTTCTCACCTGAAGACCTTCCTCTTGGACTGTGCCTACGTCACCTCACCCCTCCCCCTGCCTCGGGGTCCTGCTCCACTGCTGTAAAGCACTCTGGGACACTACCCTGCGTGAGTGGAACTATTTAAATGCAAGTTGTTGTTTCTTTTCTCTACTGCTGTCAAACTACAAAGCTGTTCATCTAATTGTTTCCCAACATTCTCCCCTCCTTTCCTGAAGACGTCTACTGACTCCATCAGCTGTCAGGAAGAATAATATGCTGTGTGTCAATTTGATTTGTGAGTCTAGACCAGTGCTGGCCGACCCGTTGGCCCTCATGGGATGTCAAGAAGTGGCCCGCCAACCACCCCCCACCCCATCAACAACAACAACAACAAAATTACATTTATAGAGCGCCTTTCACGTCGGGGGGACGTCCCAAAGCGCTGAACAGTCAGGTGTTGGGGCCCGAGCATGGGGAAGGGGTGGTGTTCGGGTGAGGGAAGGCAGAGAGGTGGGAAGGAGACCAAAGGCACGGTCAAAGACAAAGGTCTTGAGACTGACCTTGAAGGAGGCAAGGGAGGAAGTGAGGCGAAGGGACCGCGGGGTAGAGTTCCAGAGTGTGGGGGCAGAGAGGCTGAAAGCCCGGCCACCGATGGTAGGGCTGGTCGGGCGGGAGCCATGGAGCAGGCTGGAGCCCGATGAATGGAGGGTGCGGGCAGGTTGGTTGGGAATCAGC